AATAAAAACAAAGCAGCCTATGGTTATCACCGATACACCACTTGATGCATTTGACAAAGTTTCTATGGATATTTTTGGACCATTACCTGTGACAAATTTTGGTAACAAATATATACTGACAATACAAGATCAATTAACCAAATATTCAGTAGCAGTACCACTAATCCAAGCAAATTCTGAAGAAATCGCAAAGGCATTCACCCAACGATTCATATGTCAATTTGGAAGTCCTAAAGCAATTCTAATAGACCAAGGAACAAATTTCACTAGTAATGTAATGAAAAGATTTGCAAAATATTTTAAAATAAAACAATATCGTACAACGGCTTTCCATCCTCAATCTAATGGTTCTTTAGAAAGAAGTCATCACGTATTAACTGAATATTTAAAACATTATATTACAAACAAATGCGACTGGGACAATTGGCTCGAGCATGCCATGTTTTCATATAATACTAGCGTACACGAAGGAACAAAATTTACTCCTTTCGAACTAGTATATGGTAGAATAGCTCGTTTACCTTCGCAATTAGAATCAAATGATTCTTTAGAAACATACAACGACTATGTAACCGAACTCGTTGACAAATTAACAGAATTAAGAAAACTAGCCGTTTCAAATCTTACAAACGCAAAAGATCGATATAAATATTATTACGATAAGAAATTAAAAATACAAGATTATAAAATCGGCGACTTTGTATATTTACTAAAAATGACTAAGAAACATAAGTTTGACGATGAGTATACTGGACCATACGAAATCATAGAGTTATTAGACAACAACAATATAAAAATTTTAATTACGCAAAATAAGACGAAAATAACACACATAAATCGAACAAAACCTGCTCAAATTACAGACCCGGGATGTCCGAGAACGAATACACTATAACGCCGTTAAGAGATAACCCTGGAATATTCTACGAAACCATTGGTGAATTACGCACGACTGAAATTTATTGGAAAATGATTACTTATATAGATATAATTGATATTTTTGGCATCTTAGAAAAAATTCAGAAGAAAATAGAATTAACTATACAACAATGTGATAATATTTCAGAAATATGCTGTGATGTGGCCGTCCCGTCGCGTCTATTCGCCCCGGCAATTTTGACGGAGCGCGAGCCGAATGGCCGCGCCAAAGGTCAAGAGAGAGAGAGAGCTACCGTACTCCCCGGAGAGACGAGCGAATTGGTATAGTTGCGTATAATATTAATTGTTTTTTTTGTATTTTTTATTTTTTTTTGTATCGAATCCGGATCGAGGCACCTCATCACCGAAGAACAGGAGAGAACAGCATCGCCTCTCCGCGACAGCTAAAAACGACGGCTAAAAACGACAGCCGAGGAAAATTCATAAGAGCCGAGGATCCTGGCCCAGAGAGCCCTGCATCGTGAACCCGGGCAGGGGAGAGCAGCATCGCTTCTCCACGACCGCCGGAAGCCACAGCCGTTGCGACAGCCATCCTCCAGGAGAGGATAAGTCCGTGAAGGACCTCACCCGGGCCATACAAGGGCCCGCGACAGCATTTAGATTTGGCGCTATTTCGCGCGGGGCGCGATAATGCCTCGCGTGGCGCGCGAGGCGCCAGGACCTCGCGCGTGTCGGCCGCTAATTGGCCGGGGGTCCGCGCATCCCCCTGCGCGACCAACGACCCCGCCATCGACCCTGGATCGCGAGATCCAGGGCTCACTTTGTCGCGGCCGCTCGACTGAAACAGTCAAAAGTATTAGTCGTATTGTTTTGTGCGCTTGTGAACCTCGCTGACGAGACGAAACACCGAGGACGAGGCCGAGGATCATCCCCGCAGACAGGAGGAGCTCCATCGGTGAGGTTGCCCACGAATTATTGTGCACTGCGTAATTAATTGTGTCCGCTCGCCGGCCGTTCTATCGCCGTCGCCATTGCGGCGTTTATCGCGACCGCTTGAGCCTTCTGCCGAGTCGGTCGAATTTTGTGGTTTTCGGGCGACCGGAGATAAGCGGCCGAGGAAGCGCGGACATTTGCGACGGAAGTGCGTATCGATAGGGTAATACTTGTCTCTCCGGGTTTTAGGGTGAGTAATACGCGTAGCGTTCGGCCGTCGGATATCGACCGCGTGAGTCATAAATCGCGAGAAATGCGTAGTTCGCACGGGCTGTCTTTTGGCTGTCTACGCCGCGTCTCGCACCTCTGAAATATGTCTCAGAGCGAGTCTGTGGATCGTAATTAGTCGTGATCAATGAGTCTTCGTGTAGTATCATCGTCGTTCGTGAATATTGCGTGAATCTGCGTATTATTGTCGCGTCCAATTGTGTGCGTGCGAATTATTCGTCTCGACAAAGAAACTTATTTCCTCGAAATTGTCGCGGTGTGCGGGTATCGCACGATTCTAAGCATCGATATCTGAGGTCAGGAAATTCCTGACAAATATTGCGGCTATCGAAGGGGCGCGGTGCGGGATTGTCGCACCGGCGTTCCTTATAGGGTATTGAGGCTGAGGAAATAACTCATTCTCAGCCTATCGAAGGCATCGGGGGTGTAACACGAAAATTGTTGCATCTACCCGATTGCCGAGATTTGAGCTGCGGGTATCGCAGAAAAAGTCCGGTCGCCGTGAGAGGAAAATCTCCGACCGCCGCCGGCTATCGAACTTAGCCGGTGTCGTCCGCCAGTCGCATGCGAGATCTCTCCTCGCGAAACAAATATCTTGTAGTACAGCGCGTTATCAAACTGCGGTCGTATTTTTTTTGGCTGTCTAATTTGAGTGCGCTCGAAGGAAATTGCCGGACCCGCAATTAAGTAATACGATCTCTGCGAGGCTGTCGAAATTGCGGATCAATAAGCGAATGCCGGAGAAATTAGAGAAATATTACCGCTCTCTCTCTCTCTCTCTCTCTCTCTCTCTCTCTCTCTCTCACACACAGTAAGAGACCGTTCGTGAGAATTTGAGTTACAGGAACTCCCGTTTTTGAAACTATTGTTTTTAGAAACTCCATCCTTACGAAGCGATCGTAATAACCGCTCCTTGTCAGATAGATTCATAGTATTGCGCGTTTTCTTAGAACTTCGAGATTAATTGTAAGTAGGGAGAATAGGTCGATTCTAACCCACTTTTTCCACGGGTGCGAGAGAGAGGTCTCGTAGAGCGAGAGAGATAGAAAGATATCTGAGGGGCAGGGTGACGGCGGCGCGGGTGAGCAGGGGGGTAGGTAGGGCGAGGGGAGCCGCTCGCCGTCGGGTGGGTAAACGGAGGGTCGTGACGTCACGCGGCGGCGGGAGGGCGAGGGGGAGCGCGGTTCGGCGCTAGAGCGAGGGAGAGGGGGGGGAGAGAGCGCGCGTCCCTGGTTACGGCGGGCGCGCGTCCCTGGTTACGGCGCGTCGGAGCGTCTCTGGACGCGGCGCGCTAGGCGCGCGCGATAAGCGGCGATCGCCCCGGCGTCGGGCGCGTCGCGCGAGATAAGGTCGACGTTGATAATAGAGCGGTTGTATTCGACGCTGCCCTGGAAGAGATACGACGTAAGATTTATATAACGTACGATTTTATACAAAATATTATTTTATACGATGTATAATGTACGATGTATATTAGATTTATTTCGAGCAGGAGGAGGAGGAGGGAATTCTTCGCGAAGCGAGGAGAGACGAGGGCGACGTAAATCTAGGAGAGAGAGATAATAAATTACGCGTACAATTTATTTAGTTATTCGTTTATTTATTACGTCGCGAAGTTACACGCGTAGATACATGTGTACGTCGAGAATAACATCGGTACTCGCGATCGTTTCGCCTTACAAATTGTGATAGAGTCCGAACAGCAGAGCGTGCAACTCGCAGTCGATCAGATCGTTCGCGTTGAAGTGCTCGTGCCGGCGAATCGCTTCGGGAATATCGCCGGGGTGGTCGGTCTCCGTCGCGATATCTAGAAAACGCGATAACTTGGCGTCCACGGTCTCGAGTACGCACGGTCAACGACGCGATGATGCGATTGACGCACAGCTCGAGAACGAACAGCGCCTTCACGGTGGATTGCGACAGAGCGATGCGATTCTTCGGCGTCTCGAAGCGCAGAGTCTTCAGATTGTTTATCTTGCCGAATCGAAGCGTCACGGTTCCGACGATTATGGACGTCGGAGGGCGCGCGACAGCCTCGTCCAATTCGTTCTCGAAATACAGGCAGTATATCGTTGCGCAGAGCGAGCAGATCCTTCCACATGTCGGGCGTCAGAGATATCTCCTTTCCGTGGCAGTCTTCTAGGACGATGTCGACTCGAGATTCGCGCTTCATGGCTACGGCGATGTCGATATATTTGTACGCCGTCTTGGTCAGAGGATATCGTCTTCTTAGTATTCGAATCGGATGTCTCGCGAAATTGATCTCGCGTTTGAACAGCCAGTTTCTATTCCATCTGTAAAAAAAAGACTACGTTATTTTGGAGAAATAGCCGATCGAGGCGGAGATCGAGAGCGCTCGGGCGAGGTGACTCGCGCGTACTCACTCGTCCTCGGTGTACAATCGTGCTTTCTTGATCACGGGCGGAGTGTCCGAACGATCGCGGGTGGTATCCTCGTCCTTGGCGGAAGCCGCGTAATCGTCTCGACGGTTAGGCGGGACGACGAAGGGGCCCGTCATCGGCGGCGCCGACGGAGTCGCGGGCGTCGAGGACGAGTCCCCGAACACTCTGCGGTACTCCTGTCCTAGTCCGGCGAACATGATCGGTCTCGCGAACAGGGCTTCGATGTTCGTAGGAAGACACTGCGCTGGCGACGGCGTCGTAGAGAGATTCGTCGTAGACGTCCGTTGAGAATCGAACGCGCGTTAATCGCGAGTATCGTTGGAAATGTCGCGCGCAACGATCGAGACGCGTCTTATATACGATGCGATCTCGATCGTCGTCGCGAAATCTTTATTCTCGACGCGCGCGTTAATTAATGCAGCGGAAGCGGTTTAGAACAGCGGTTTAGAACAGCATATTAAATGTAATCTTAACGTTAGGTTTCAGGATTTCCTGATCTTAGTCATCGTCATCGTCGTCGTCGTCGCCGCCGTTGCGCGGTCTTTCGAAGGACGCGTATTCCAGGCGATACAGCTTGGAGACGAGTTCGCTCAATCGATGCAGAATGCCATCGGCTGGGCATTCTATTCCCAGTATGCTAAGATCGAACGGACCGGCCGAGATTATCGCGTCGAGGAACTCGCTGTACGCGTAATAGTCGCGTTTCTTCAGAAAATAGAGATTACCGTCGACGTGACGGAAGGCGGCCGTTATCGCGGGTGGTATCCCGGAAAACGTGTCCCGCAGAGCGCCGTGCCTCGCGACGGTCATCGCGCAGTCGTTCATCTCGGCTATCTTATCGTCGTTGTATATGACGTAACTGCGCCCGGCGTGCGTGTTTATCGCGGCGTTTATCCTAGCGTCGCGGGGAAATCCGACGTATTCGACGGATCTAGGCCATCCCGCTTTAAGATGAAAATTCGAATCGGCGAGGTAGACGTAGTCGCCGACGAATATCGCGATATCGCCCGACGGTCTCTGATACACGGCCGATACGCGAGTGAGATTGCGGGGGAGGAATTTAAAGTAGTCGGCGAACGAGAAGGGCGCTCCGTAGCGTCTCTCCCTCATATCGACGGGCCACACGTTGCGTTTACGCGCGACGTACAGGCGACGATTCATGATTAGCGCTCCGTCTACGCGCTTCAAGGCGCATAGATCCGTGGTATCGGAGGGAACGAGCGGCGGCTCGACCGTTCTCGCGGTCGTCGGCTGAGCCGCGGCCGCCGTCGTCGTTTTCGAGGCCGTCGTCGTCGTCGTCGTTCTCGTCGTCGTCGTCGCGGTCGTCGGTCGAGTGACGTCGACGATCCTAGGAGTCGTCGTCTCTCTCGATCCGTAGAGATTTCGCACGTTTACGACGTCCTCTACGCTCAGCCTGAGCGGATATCGCCTTTCCTCCGAAGGCGTGTACGCGTACATGACCGAGTCATCCCTCGTACTGTGAGTCAGACCCAGAGTGTGACCGATCTCGTGCGTCAGCGTCTGAAGGAGATACAGCCTGTCCGACGAGGGCTTGGTCAGCGTGATGTGCCACGGCTCCGTCTCGTCGACGTGCACCTCGGTGACCTGATCGGGCTCTCCCGTCGGAAAGAACGCGTGAGCGACGACCGATCCCGGTCCCGCGAACGGCGACGGGCACGAGCCCCCGTTGTCGCTGTTCTCGTACGCGTGAGCCGGATTGATAGGATATCAGTATATCGGGGCGCAGCGAGTCGCGCGAGAACGTCAGAGCGGATTGCTCGGACCACAGAGCGAACGCGCTCTGAGTCGTGCGCAGAGTATCTCTATTCGCTAGTTTGAAGTTCCACGTGAGATGCGCCCTCGGCCACTTTCTCGTCAACGGGCTGTAGGCGCGAATGTCGGCGACGCCGCATCGCGGCCTGCGCATGACGCGAATCATTTCCACGGTCAGAACGCCGTTTCCCGGCAGACCGTAGTATTCCTGAAACAACGACAGCGCTTCGCTCAGGGCGGTCGCGTTGTCCAGTAGCGACGACTGCTGATGATTCTCCTCGTTCTCCAGAAAGCCGTAGGTTCGAAGATAACGGGACGTCTCCGCGACGACATCGTGGGTCGACGTCGCCGCGACGGCCGCGAGCAGGGATATCGTCAGCGCGAGCGATAACGCGACGCGCGTCATGGCTCGTGCGAGACGCGCGGGGGTCGGGACGGTGGCGAACTATCATGCGCCGCGTCCTTCGGCGATGCGTCGTCGTTCTCCGCCGGAACGCGAGTACGAGGGAGAAGGAGGAGGCGAGGGGAGGGGAGGGTACGTACGCTCGGACGCGCGAGAAGGATGATCGAGAGAGCGAACTTTTTTTTTTTTAAAAAAAGAAACAACGATGACAAAAAAAAAATAGAAAAGGGATAGGAAGGATACTCTAGGACGCGCTAGAGAGGTGATCGAAAAGAAACGACTCTTTATTCGTATGAAAATGATTTTTTTATTCGTACAAAAAATTATTCCTCATTCGTACAAAAAATTATTCCTCATTCGTACAAAAAAAAAATACGCGCGATCTACGATTTACAAAGATATCGCTTAGACGCGCGCCTTGTCGTGTCTTCCGCTTCTTTTTTTTTTACACATGTTTGTTCGAACGTAAAATCGAACCATTCGACGCGATATCGAAGCACGCGATACGCGCGTGTATATTAGTCTCGCGATACTTGTCGGAGGACAAGGAGGTGAATGTAGCGTATCGTTCGAGTAAGAGGTGTTTGTATAAATGCCGACAGGGTTATAACGTTTAATATAACGCTTAGTATAACGCTTAGCATAACGCTTAGCATAACGTTTAACATAATGAAGTAGTTACACGGCCTATACGCGAGCTTGCGGGGGAGGAACTCGAAGTAGTCGGCGAACCTTATATTATAACATTATATTGGAACATTCTAATGTTCGAGAGAACGCGGAGGGTCTTCGAGTTCTCCTTCGCTGAATCGTGCGACTATCGACGATGGATGCGACACGACGATTACGATGTACCATTGTTAAACTTATACGATTGAAATGTACGACTATTATATAAGGGGTGGACCCATTTTGAGCGATCCACTCGAATGTCTCTTAGGGAACGACCTGCGAACCGATACGGAGTGCGAAGAGCTGCTTCTTAATGCTCTCGGGAACGACGCGAATAAACGGTCTTACGAAAAAAAACATGCCCGTTTGAGCTCGTATCGAACGACCATTTAAAAATAAAGTAGCTGCAAAAACATGATTTACGAATGAACGTATCGCGATCTCGAGCCTCGCGCTTACCCGTATAACCGCGCCCGAACGAGGCGAAACGATCGCGGGGAGCATTCGCGAATGAACCGTAAGAACCGTAAGAACCGTAAGAACCGTAAGAACCGTAAGAACCGTAAGAACCGTAAGAACCATAGGAACCGTAAGAACCATAGAACCGTAAGAACCGTAAGAACCATAGGAACCGTAAGAACCGTAAGAACCATAGGAATCGTAAGAGAACCGTAAATGACCTAGGAATCGACCATAAATGACCCATAAATACTGCTGTAAGACCCGGTTCCACGACTCGAGTTAATCGGAGTTTAATACGTTAAACTGGGTCCTGATTGGTCCATTCGCTACTTAAACTCGGATTAACTGGATAGGTATTTACGAGTCGATCGTAAATACCTCCCCCCCCCCCGGCATAATGGAATATATGAATATGGGGGGGATAAAATTACGACTGCAATCACAACGACGACGACGACGACAACGACGACGAATCTCTCGCGAAGACGCGGTGAGTCCGATCGACGAAATGAGCTCAGTTCGCGCGAGCGACGATGAGTTTCGACGCGCGCGAGAGGAAGGGAGGCGACGCGAACAAAGATCAATCTTAAGGGATAACTTTGCACGCGATAGTAGTCTACTTCAATGATGCATAGTCTTCGCCCTTCTTCGACTCCGTCCTTCGGCGCCGTCCTTCGACGCCGTCCTTCGACGCCGTCCTTCGACGAGACGTCGAGATCGACGAGACGTCTGAAATACGTAAAGCTGCGTATTAATGATAATAATACGTATGGAGAGACGCGAAAGGAAAGAACGGCGCGTTATACCAGAAGAGATCGGGGTACCTCGGTTAAAATTCTTCATCCTCCGTACGGACGGAGCTCGTTTCCTCGAGCGAGCTCGCGTCGCAGTACCATATCTCCACGGGGGAATCGTCGTCGCAGAAATCCTCGGTTTTAAACGCGCGATCCGAGACGAGCGGCTCCATGTCGAACAATCTTCTCAGTCGAAAGATGTCGGCGTAGATATCAGGGGAGCGCCTCTCCCATTCTCTATAGGACGGCCGGTCGCACCATAAGGAGTTTAAGAATCGCCGTTGCTTCAGTCTCGTCTGTCGTATCCAATGTCGGCGACGTATGTTGACGAATCCACAGATCTCAACCTCATTCTCGAACTGTGAAAAAAAAATATACGTAGTATTTTTTTCTCGAAGGAGAGCGAGAGAATAAAGAGACGAACGAGTACTTACGTTCCACGTTACGGCTATATTGAGGATCGCATCCATGAGATTTCTGATGTACTTTATCTTCCACAAGCACATCCACGGCGTGAACGTGCATTCGCGAAGCATCCTCCGCAATCGCGAGATTTCGTCGCCGCTCATCGTCGTTCGCGTGAAAAAAAAATAACTCCGAGAATGAATGCTGGATACGTTAGGAACACTCGCGATATCGGACGCACTCAACGACGGATCGCGAGACTCATTCTGAAGAAAAAACATCCTCGGCGCTAATTTATACCTGCGATATCGCTATCGCCGAGTCTTTGTGATTCCGTCGAATGCTAATGTAACGCCGTAATCTAAAGCGATATGAACGCGGTAATTTAATTTAATGAGGCGCGATAAATTCTCGATTGCTCCGGAGGAAGTGCCGGAAAATACGTTCGACCGCGTACGCGCGATACGAGTTTATTCGCTGATTAATATTATTTTAACGTTATTTTAATATTATTTTAATATTATCTTAATATTATTTTAATATTCTTAGTATTAATATTCGTAGTATTATTATTTTAATATTCTTAGTATTAATATTCGTAGTATTATTATTTTAATATTCTTAGTATTAATATTATTTGAATATTATTTTTTTCTTAGTATTAATAGTATCTTTCTAAGTATTAATAATACTTTTAGGCAGGGCGATAAGTCGTCGATAAGAGTACGCGTAAGACTGATCTACGACGCGTCTCCGTTCACATGTCGCGCAATTGATCGCGTCTCTCCAACCACCAGTCGTGCAGTTTGCACACGTTTTCCAAGGCGCAATTCTTCGAGTGATAGCCGCAACGATAGACGCGAGTGGCGGCTAGCGTTCGAAGGAGTCCGATATCCTCGTAATCCGCGTCGATGGTCTCCATCGTCAGGTCGAGCTGTTCCGCGACCTCTCCCGCGATGTCGGCCAGCCACCTCTTCTTCTCGAGACCCTTGACGTAGATCGTCACCGCGGCGTTCGACGCGAGATCCCTCGACGCGCGATATATCGCGTCGCGAACGATCTGTTTCGCGTGCCTATACTCCACGTGTCCGTCGGTCCAGTGAAATTCGTGGTGATTGAGAGTCAGCCAACAGGCCTGCGACTTCTCGCTCTTCGTCACAGATTCCACGACATGGCGCGCGAAAGACGTGATGCGTCAGATCTCTGCCGTTCGCGAGTATCGCCATCTCCTTCGTCACGAATCGCTCGTTGACGACGAAACTCTGCAGATCCATGAAGATCGGCGGGGCGATATCGCTCGCGAACGTCGTCGCGGTCATCGTCGCGAGATACTGACGTTTATTCGCGTCTCTCCCCCCCGATATCTTCGCGGTTTCGAGTTTCCTCTCTCCCCCCTCCCGTCCGACGCGTCGTCTTACAGGATCTTACGCACGACGTTCGTCAACGGATTGTACTCCACCACGCGATCGTGAATGATTAGACAGTACGCCGTGGTGTTAGAAGGAACGTTGTCCTTGCAGTCGAATTCTAGACGAACGTCCACAGTGGCGCTCTTAATCGCTTCGTTTTGGCGGGAACAATCTATCACCGCGAGCGGGCCGCAGTATAGAAATTTGTTCATGGTCAGGAGCGTCTCGTCGCTCGCGGATCCGTAATACGTTCGTCGAAATCTCGCGTAGGCGTCGTACAGTACGGCGATTTTGTTCTTGTCGAAGTCCAAATTCATATCGTCGTACGGATAGAAGTCGGAATTGAGATACAACTTTACGTTGGTCAGATTGCACGCGTCGAATCTGGAAGCGTCCTGCGACAGGACGTTCTTCTTTCCGGTCTGCAACGCGAAGATGACGTAACGCGGTTTCTCGAGCTGCGTGGCCGCTTTTACGGCCCACGAGTGTTTGGTCGTGCTCTGCAGGAGCGGAAACTCGTAGAGATCCCACGAGCGAAAGGGCGCGCTCAGATATCTGCCGCTGTCCAACGTGCGCAACAGCGATAATTTGTTGACGTCATTCAGCACCACGTGCGGCACGCGCCACTGTATCTTCGCGAGCTCGACTCTCGGCTCAATTCCTCGCGCGATATCAGACAATTGTTGTCGTTTCGCGCTCTTATCAGAATCAGCTCGTGACGCGCGTTGATGACGACGCGCCTGTAATCCTCGCAGAAACCTAGCAGCGTGTCGAGAGGAACGCAGAAGTTGAAGTCGCCCGTCGACGCGACGCCGCTCGGTCCAGTCGCGAGATCCCATCCGGCGTTCTTCAAGATCTTGCCTCGTTCGGCCGTCAACGAGACGTAGTTCTTGATCGTGCTGGTTATTCCGACGTTGCGATTACGATCGATCTCCACGCCATCGAGCTCGTAACGTATCTCCTCGAACATAAAGGCGACGCAATTGTTCGCGAGCCACGCCGGCGTCGAGGGCACGGACGGCTCCTTAGAGGCCGAGGCGGACTTACCCGATTCGCCGCTCGACGCGGGCGGCGGATTGTTCCTCGCGTGCAGTCTACCTTCGACGTAGAGAAAACTCTCGCACGGCAGCGTGTATAGGTCCTGCTGTTGTATGGGTATTCGTATCTCGTCGCTGTATCCGAAAGTGGTGTTGGCGTACGGATTGTACGTGTGACTCTCGATCTTCACGATGCGATCGTCGAAGACGGGTTCCCCGCCGATGCTCAGAATGTCCCTCATGTCGTCGTCGTTGTCGTCGAACTATCGCGCGGCTCTCGGCACGACGAAACCCATGGATCGCAGAAAAGCGACGTTGGCCGCGGACAATCTCCCGACGCTCCTCTCTCTCGAGCGCGCGACTCGAGTTCCCGCGACGCGATCGCGGTCGCCGCCGCGACGCGACGTCGCGACGCTAGATTCGCGCACGACGAGCATCGCCCCGTCTCGCCGCGCGCTCTCTATCGTCTGCGCCGCACGTGCAGTCGAATCGAGATCTCCTCGCCGCGGAAATCGATCAATCGACCGTCCTGATCGACGACGCGCAGCGATACGTCGGTCACGAGTCGCGCGATGACCGGCAGATAAATGATCTGCCTCGGGATCTCCGACACTTTGTATCCCGGCGGGACGTTCGGCGCGAATTCGTGTATCGCGTGAGCGGATCTCCCGTTCACGTACGCGCCCGTCGTCAGGTTGCACTCCACGCGAATCGTGTTAACCGCGATAATGCTCACGGGCTCGTCGGACGCGTACCATTTGTTCGGCCGCAATACGCGAGACTGGGAGAAACCTAACAACGATCCGATATTGTCCGGTTTGGTGAAATTAATTCGGTACGCGCATTTGATTTCGCTTCTCATGGTATTGTCGTTGCCGCGTAGCGCGAGAACGCGATCGCCGCTCTCGTCCTCCGCGTCCTCGACGTCGTACAGATATTCCTCGTCGTCGTCGTCGCTGGCGCTGGCGCCATCGCCGCCTTCTCTCCCTCCGGTACTCGCGCTCGGCGGTCGTCGCCGTCTTCGAAGAATCGCGGCTCTCAGGTACGCGCTTATGTCGCGCAGCTCGTAGGATCCGATCGGGATCGCGATCGTCTCGTCGTTGTCGTCGAAGTAAAATTTATTGTTCGACGAATTCACGTTCGGAATCGTGTTGTAGGTCTCGAAATTGGTCAGGCCGAGCTCGTAATCGTCGTCGCTCAGATCGAGAGGCGGAAAGTAACTCGCCGTGAGAACGTTGCTTCTTCCGGTCAGCGTGAGAATCAGCGACATGACGACGCGCGCTATCGCCGTTAGAGACCGAAGGGCTTCCTCCTTCCTCCTCCCCAATCGACTCGTCGAAGGAAGCGCAGGCACAATTGTCCGCAGACGCTCTGATCGTACGTCTGCTGGGAGTCGCGATTGTACGCGACGCGCGTGTCGCGTCCGAGATAACGCGCGAGTTCTCGAGGCGGCCGAAGATTGCCGAAAGCGTCGAAGTAGATAGCGTCTTTTCCCCTTTTAGCGTACGCCACCCAATGCGTGCCCGGCCCCGAGGCGTCGTCCAGGTTCACGATACCACTCTCGTCGCGACGAACTCGCGCCGGCAACGCGTCGCGCATGAACACACCTCTGAAGTGACGCACGCGAGCGCGTCTGGCCGCGCTGTTCAACTGTTCGTTCGTCGTGACGCCGATCGGAGCTACGACGTCGTCTAACGCGCGCGAAGACGCGACTTTTTTTTTTCCTCCTCTTCCTCCTAACCGTTCGTCCGCCTCGTCTCGCGATGCTTCCGCCGCGCTTGTAAGGCGCGAGATACAAACCGCGGCCCTCCATCGTTCGATTGTGTCGCTGCAGCTCCTCCAATTGCCGACGCGCGGCCTTACCGTCGTTCACCATCTTCGCCACGCCGGCCGCTCCGCCGATCAGCGATCCTAAAGCTCCGAGCGCCGGCAACAGCGGCAGGAAGCCGCCGCGTTTCGCCGCGGGAAGAACCCGTCCTCTCGTCGTCGTCGTCCTCCTCCTCGTCGCGGTCGTTCTTCTCTTGCCGCCCCCCCGCCGCTCTTTCTCGCGCCTCTTCGCGCTCCAGCCATACCCATTCCTAGTTTCGTCTTCGCCTTCATAGCCGCCCATACGGCCGACGCCGCCACTCTCTCGCCGAGGGTCGAATCCCCGGCCCGGATACGCTCGAACGCTCTCGCTCCGAGCGTCCGATCCGCGACGTGCCGATCGGCGAGATCGTCGCTCCGCGAATAGGCGACGTCGTGCTCGCGGCAAGCCGCGTCCAGCGGATTGACGCCTCGATCGCCTCGCGCGAGCCGCTTAGCGAGACGAGTACCGGGACCGCAGAACTGATATCCCGGTATATGTAGTTCGAACGGAAGAGCGTTTATAGTTCTATTGAGCAAACCGCTACCGCCGACGACTTCCGTCGCGGCGTCCTCGGCGTATCTCATACGCCTCGATCGTCGACGCGCTCATCATCATCACGCCATTTCCTTCTCCCGGCACATGCCGCAGTCTTTGACGCGCGGCGGCGGACCGTCGATGTGCGTTCGTTGCCACGGCTGATTGTGATGCTTGTGACAGAGGCGATAACGCTGCACGTCCGGATCGTCCTGCAGATGTACGGGCAATCTCTCCCACAATCGATCGACGAAATCGCCGTACTTGTCCAGCAGAAGCTTCTTCGGAACGTACTGCAACTGATCGACGTTGAGTCCGAGAATATCGTAATCGTTCACCAATAGAATAAACATGACGAAGCGTCGCGCGCGCGCGCGCGTAACTCTATCGCGTCACCGTCGATCGGACACGCCTAACTGCGCGATCGTTTTTTTTCTCCCTCTATATATATCCGTTCGCGAGGACGAATCCGCGCTCGTTGCTCGCGCGCGCGCGAGTCTGCGCGCTGTGACGCAGATTCGCTCGCGACAACGAGGAAGAATCGCGAGAGGAGAGAGAGAGAGAAAACGATGCGTTTCGTGCGTCAACCGATCGCGATAAGAGTGTCCAACGTCGACGGTAAGACGCGCTCGATGAACGAGGAACCGCGAAGACACGGTAATCTGTTACCGACCGCGATCCGCTGCGTAATCTGCGGTCCCTCTAATTGCGGTAAAACGAACGTGCTGATAAGCCTTCTGGAGAGCCCGCACGGCGTGCGATTCGAGAACGTGTACGTTTACTCGAAATCGTTGCATCAGCCTAAATATCGATATCTGGAGAAATTGTTGAAACCTATGAGGGATATCGGTTACTTCACGTATTCGAACAACGTCGACGTCATCCCACCTAGCGAGGCGTCGCCGAACTCGATATTCGTGTTCGACGACGTGGCCTGCGACAAACAGGACGTCGTGAGAGAGTACTTCGCCATGGGACGTCACGCGAAGGTCGATTGCTTCTATCTGTGCCAATCGTACGCTAAGATACCCAAACATCTGATACGCGACAACGCGAATCTGTTGATACTCTTTAAGCAGGATGGCACTAATCTGAAACACGTGCACAGCGATCACGTGAACACCGATATGCCGTACGAGGATTTTCACGCGCTGTGTCGCGCGTGTTGGAAATACCCGATACGGTTTTCTAGTGATCGACAAAGATAGCGCGCTGCGCAACGGCAGATACAGGCGAGGGTTCAACGATTACCGCCGTGNCGGGCGCCAATGTAACGTCGCTACTTCGCGCGGATCGCAGCAGGATAGCCGTCGGTTCCAGGAGGACAGAAATTCTGAATGTATTTGTAAAGAAATGTATTTTATTTTAACGTGTGGTGTATACAAGTGTGTATACAAGTGTGTGTGTGTGTGTGTGTGTGTGTGTGTGTGTGTGTGTGTGTTGTGTGTGTGTGTGTAAATTGTACGGTACGGATGCTTGTGTGTGCAAGCGTTCGATTTTAATTCGGGATTTTAATTTCGCTTTCCTGATGGATTTTGGGTTTGGAAGGCGTCGCGACGCTAGCGAGCGTCGGAGGCGGCTCAGGTTCACCTGTGAGTGATACGACGTCTTAATGAGGATATTTGGAAAAGAGAGCGATATTGAGCGCCGATATCGATCGCTGAGGCGCGTTACACTACCTTCGGTCCGTATTAATCGCTAAGAGTTTCTTATGCTTAAGTTGCCTTTGACTAGGCTTTCGCTCGAGAGGATCGGAAGGATCTGATTTAAGTGTCACGGGAGCCCTTTTTATACCGCTAATTATGGCACGCGCGGGCGTATTTGTTATCCCTCCACCGGCCGGCGGAAAAAATAACGGTATAATTGCGCGGGGGTTCTCATTCGTCGGCTCCCGGTGATGGTGCTCAGGATGCCGGGTGCGGTTCTCAATCGGCGGATCCCGGCCGACGGTGTTTTGTCGACTTCTAGGCTTTTTTGCTAGGTTTTTAAAAAGTGGGCACTCTGCTCTGCCCGGACCGGTGGTCGTCGGGGGCAGCTTCCGGCTGATGTTTTGCCGGGAAACGATGCATTCCCGGGGTGCATCGTTACACCTAAAACAGAAGAATCGACGCAGCATTGGACGGCAGCGTAGATTTGACGATACAAGATAACGGTAAATATCAGATAAATGAGTCGCTCATCCTCTCCTTCGCTCATCCTCTCATCTTTCTCTTATCCAAATAAATAAAGAAAAATGGAATCTATAGCAGTTGAGAATAAGATGCGGTCAAGTGAAGGCGCAACTTACTCGTATTCAGACATTTTTCAGAACAACAGATGGGCCAACAGTGGTTGAAGCACGATTAGAAAAATTAATAGAATTATGGATAAATTTGAAGAACTTCAGAGTTCTCTCGAGAGCATACAGGAAATCTTAACCGAGGAGGAGGAGTTGCAGGAAGCTCAAAGCGACAGCGAGGCTAAACGTGCAGCGTTTGAGGCAATGTATTACGAGTGGCGCGAAGGGCTCACGGTATAATAGACAGAGCCAATAAGGCACGAGAAAGAACATTAGAATTGAATCAAGGTAACAATCGTCAGGACGAAAGGAATTATGTAAGAAGAGCCAAGCCCAAGCTGCCGGAAATAAAACTCCCTGAATTTCGCGGAGAATACACGAAATGGATGTTTTTCAAGAATAGTTTCGAATCGACAATTCGTAACGATGAGGATCTCTCGCCGGTGCAAAAGCATCAATATCTCGTAGGGGTGCTTCAAGGTGAAGCTCGACAAGTATTCAAGGTTTAAAATTTTCACATGAAACTATGAGAGTGCATGGAAATTGCTCAAGGATACCTATGACAATGAGATGATCATAAT